ATATATATATATATATGTACGGAATTATTATTATCACGGTAGACAACGGCGATATATATATATATATATATATATATATATATATATATATCGCCGTTGTCTACCGTGATAATAATAATTCCGTACATATATATATATATATATATCTTATCATATTTTTATATATATATATATATATATATATATATATACACACTCTCTCTCTCTTTCTCGGTTCCACGCCGTGACATTTTTACGACCGCGGAGGCGCTGCCGCGTTTTCTTTCTCTCGAGTGTAAGGGCTTCGATCTACAGTAGGTGCAGTGAGCTTTTCAGCCTTTTGCACGAAGTCCTAGACTGTGACTTAATTTCTGGCAAAAGGCATTTCCCGCGCTACTAGACGTCGCAATCCCTAAGCTGGCAGCTTTATTACGACTTCTAGCAACGCGCGGGAAATATCCTTTGCCAGAAATTACAGTTGCAGTTTAGGAGTTTGAGCAAGAGACTAAAGACTTTCTGCAACCACTGCATTGGGTTGTTTGATAAGTAGGGGATCCGTAGAGATTTTTACGAAAAATTCTAAGCCCTCAGATGCTTTAGTTGGGCATAACTTTATTTTTCTTATTTTCTTCGATGGCAGGTCATCGAAAAAAAGAACGGAAAAAGCCGCTCTCTAAATTTCTTGAAGTGAAATCTCACTCAAAACAAGTATGCGGTATATTTACTAATATAACAAAAATTTTATATTTATATTTATAAATAAAATACCACCTTCTCTTAAGTTCCCAGCTGAACTAAAGCGAATTCTCGCAGGCGACCTGTCAATAAACCATCCTGACAGGATCCTAATAAGACACATTTCCGCAGTCTGACAGAGTAGTCTGACAGGGTGACGAAAATGTTGACTTCAACATAGCAATGTTGGCATATCTCTGCAAAGATTTGCCAAGCATAAAGATAATGTTAATTTTAGAAGAAAGTATATAAAAAAAATTCATTGTCGTTCTTCGTGGTCAAAATTAGTAAGCATTGGTGACTTTTATCTCTGACGCAAAATAGCTGCTTACCGAATACATATCTTTGTATTTCTACCTGTTCCTCTCTCAGTGCAGCACAAACTGTCAAGTAACCCAATAGACCGGGTCTGAATTCGTAGACAGATCGACCGATCGATTGATCATTCTATGCTCCTGCGCGCGGTTTCCTCTTAGGAACTACGAGTCTCGCGGAGGATCACTCGAGAGACTACGGAGAGAAATAGAGAGAGAGAGAGAGAGAGAGAGAGAGAGAGAGAGAGAGAGAGAGAGAGAGAGAGAGAGAG